CAAAGGGAGGAAAATTGAAATCTCCAAATAAAGAATAGATTCAATAGTGAAAGTATCTAAGAATTATACTCTGATGTTTACCACTAATTCTGACTCCTTATGCCTGAAAGAAATAAACACTTCGGAGCAAATTTTCAGAAACGTCTTCCTGAAGAGCAATTTTGCAGCAGTGTTTGTGCTCATTTTCAGCCAGCCAAAAGCAGCCGGGGAAAGTCATAAAACAACACCCAGAAGATCTTCCGGGGCTGAAGCATGGCTCTCGGAGGCTCAGCAAGCAGTGCCTGTAATAATTACCAATCTCAGACATGCTAACCCCATTAAGACTAGTTGTTTCAGTGCATAAATGACAGGCTGTGCAAACCTCCAGCTCCCAGGACCAGGGGATTAAAGGTTTCCTTAATGCTTTTATCAGCTCTGATTATTAGTAGTTCTTGGCTTCAATGATTTAGAGTCTTAACGCATAGCAAATCTTCATTAGGCAGGAGAGTCAAAATACTCCTCTCTAAATCCATTCCCAAAGCCAGCCTGACTCTCTCTCAAGGTGAATTGTGCTGAAGGCAGAGAGATTCAGCACATTCAGGAGGGGCTCCTCCGCTGCGTGAACATATTTCATCCTCTGGGCACAGCCACTGGTGACAGCCATAATTTGTTGGGCTGAGCTAATGCTGCTGCTTCTCCAGAGAAGTCCCAGGGGCCCTCATACAAGCGACGCTTCTTATAATCATCAAAGGGACCCAAGCCACTGCCAGACACATCTGTGACAAGAGTGAAGTCAACTTGTGTCTACTAGGAGGCCAGAGGAAGCAGATACTTAGAGATACCACATTTGGGTCAAAACTGCTTGGTAGACCTCTTGGCAGGAATAAATGACACTGTAATAGTCTAACGACATTGACAAGCTTCCTGAATCATTTTTTAAAACATGGATTTAAATGCTGCAAGTTTCAATTATCTCTGCTAATGCTCGTGTAGAGAGGCACAAGGAATTCAAAATTGAAAATGATAAAGGGTGGTTTGTATTTAGTCTGGAAAGTAATTTACATTTACATTTGGTGAAGAGTAAGTCTAATTCTGAGAGTGTTTAACAGCCCTGACCAAAGGGTGAAGGGCTTGAGGATCCTTCCTGCCCTCACACAGTATCCTGAAGGTGAATTGCATTTCCTCCTATGCTGCACAACTTCTGAAACCCTGGCCTTCAAGTGACATCATAGTTCTGACTGCTCACATATTGACTCAGAGGACTCACAACAGAACAGGAAAGAAGATGGCTGGGTATTTATATAGGTAAATTATCTCCTTGATTTTTCTGCAAAACCTTCTCAGGGTATTCACTTCAGTTAAAATGCACCATGTAGAGCTGGGAAGTGCATGCCACAGAGCCTGCCTCTGAGCCTCCACTCCAGGAAGAAGCTTGCATCTGAACAGAAATGAAACATCTCTCACCAAACGATTTGAAAGAGTCAGGAAAAGGACAAATGCTTCTGTTGACATCACTTCTGTGGTCTTCAGCATATTCCTGGTGGGTTTGGTGGAAGGACAGAGCTATTTTCTGACAATTCAGAGTTCTTGAATTTCCTGAATTTATTTTTCAAGTTGATAGGGAGACACATAATCTTTCTTGTGCAGGGAACAGCTTAACCTGCCAGTAAGAAATTCTACTTTAAGATGGTGCACACGAAATCAAATGTCAATGCTCATCTGGAATCCTTAGGTCGCATGGCCAAGTTCAAGAGAGAGCAGCCAGGATGAGCAGAATCTCCAGGGGGAGCCCTCCCTCACCAGTCAGTGGCCCGGGTGGTGCCTTGCCCTCTTCCAGAAGATAACAGATTAGCTGAGAGATTCCTAAAAGTGATTTCACTGCCTCTTTCTTATCTTAGCCTGCAGTTGCTGGAAGATCCACTTTCCTGCCCCTTTAAGAAATAACCAGCTCAAACAATCCCTCAGTCAGAAACTTTCAGACCATCACTATCTCCACTCATATCCTCAGCAAATCCAATTGGTGTCATCTTTAAAATACATCCAGAGCCTGCCTGCTTCTCAGCATCTCTACTGCTTTCACCAAGGGCCAAGCCACTGTTGTCCCCCACCTCCTTCCAGGAGCCCCTGCTCCCAGCCCTAACCCATGACAGCCACGTCTCCCACCACAGCAACTGCAGAGATCCTGTTAAAATATGGAGATAATCCTGCCATTCCTCTGCTGAAAAATTTGCAGTGCCTTCCGTTTTCCTCACAGTAAAAGTTAGTGTTCTTCTAATGGTCCACAAAGATTCGTAAATCCTGTCGACAACACAAACATATACATATGCAAATGCATGCATAAATATGCCCATGCACACACTCTGCACACACATGCACATCTTCTCAAAGTTGCATTGTTTATAATACAACTGTGCTTGCCATGTTGCATGATAAGCTATGCATTATAAACTAGATTTATAATGCATAAATGCTTGTGTTCACATCCATGTGCACACACCATGTTCACATGTGCACACACATGCATACATTCACACAGGTGCACATACACATACACATGCCCCCACTCACACACCTGCACAACTGCATACACACACATTCACATGCATTTACATACATGTGCACACAGGCATACACACATTCTCATACATGCACATATTCACACACACATGCACACACTCTCCAGGCCTGCTACTTCTGTGACCTCATCTCTCCCATATTCACCACACCTCAGTCACTCTGGCTTTCTTGCTTACCTTTGTAATACCAGGAATGTTCCCACCACAGGGCCTTGGTACATGCTTCTCCCTCACTGCTGTCAGGCCTATGTGTCTAGGAGTCTTTCCCAGTCCCCACGGAGTCTACGTTGAAACTTTCCACGCACTCCCAACCCCTTCCTTTGTTTCATTTCCTGCCTTAGCACTCATCACCACCCACATCTGTGCATTGCACTTATTTGTTAAGTTGACATTGTCTCCTCTGGTGAGAATGCAAGCCCTTGGCAAGGATTTTGGTCTTCTTTACTGCTCACTGAATATTCACTCTTACACTCTGTGGTGTTGATTAAAATATTGTCTTATAGCCACAAATTCACCCTTCAATGCCCGTTTGTGATCCTGGTTCTGGGCCCTGCAAACATTCCTCCTTCACCCGCTGGTGCAGTGCTGAGCTTTGTCAGTAGAGGGCGCTGGAGTGTGCAGGAGCCAGATTTTCCTCCCAATTTTGATGGGCTGTAGACCCTTCTTGGCCTGCTGATCTCCAGCCCATTTATCCATCCCATCCCATCTTCACCTTCCATGGCTCACTCCTGAGATGGTGACCTAAGGCAGGTAAATCAGATAAAGCCAACATGGCACAGTTCCCAGAACTGTAGAAATGCAGCATATAATTACTGTCCACACTGAAAAGAAAAGGTCACCCCCAAAAAATAACAGTTATACAAATATAAATATAACCATTAATATTGGCTAGCACTGGGTGTGGAACTGGGAGATTTGTCGGAATATATCTATATTTCTTTGATGGTTTACCAGGAGCAGTTGCTATGTCTAGCCACAGCCATGAAAGTGCACTGTTGTCTTTTACACTCAGACTTTGGGTCCAGCTGTGTTTGCAGCACCCCAGCCCCCATAGCAGCTGCCAATCTGGAGGAGATGGAGGTGAGTGAGCACTGCTGCCTTAGGGCCCAGGCCCCCTTGATTTCCATAAGCAATCCCCAGCCTCCCTGACTCTAGCCAGTTCCTCAGGCCACACTGCCAAGGTGGGCACAAAGGTCCTCAGTCACCTGCCACACGAAGTGCCACACAGCCAGATGCACCCAGCACAAGGCAGAGACACACCAGCCACTCATTGCCATGGGCCACGTTGTCCTCAACTTTGTCCAAACACCACACACACACTCGCCCCCTCTCCAGAGTCATTTGCCTTTTGCTTCACATTCTTTTTTCTCTGCACTGCTGCCTCTGAGAAACACTGAGTACTTCTTCAGTCCTTGTTTTCTGTATCTAGAAGCTTCCATTGGTAGGCAAGTAGGGCAGAGAGCTAGGATGCATGGCAGTATGCCAAGGTTTTCAGTATTTAAAGACCAGGGTCAGGCCAAGATGGCCAAGGGGTATCCTGGACATTGTCCAGTGGTCATGGCCCAATCTCCTTCAAATTACAACACAAATATAGCTATATAAGTGATTAAAAATTTAAGGAAGTTGTGGCCATGGAATTTTTTAATTCTTCAATAAAAGTAATCTCAACAGTATCACATTTTGGAAAGGCTAACTCAAGAGCTCCATATACTTAAATATTCTCTACATGAGGCTTTTCTTTTCAACCCATTATACAAAGAATTGCTCCTGGCCAAAAGCTTCCTAGGCCATGTCTAATGGTACCTGCGCCATCATGCTCTTACGTCAGAATACCAGGAAATTGAATTTTAGACCTGGTGTACTGTCACAAGAGAAATGTTAGCTACAGATGAGAATACTCAGAGAAAGTGGTGCCTCTGGGGCTTTGACAGTTTGCAAACAAGATTTTTCAACTTATCTTTGAAGAAAAATTTTCTAGCACCAGAACAGCCTGGGTGAGAAGTTCAGAGAGTTCCAGGAGCTCCCAGAACAAGGGACCACATCCTGCAGCATTCCCATCACACAGCGACATGGAACCACCTTCATCTCCCTCTCAAGGAATCCTGAAATAGTCCAGGCAGAACACAGCAAGCCTCAGAAGGCTATTTTCAATTTATTTATACATATATAACATTATATATGATATATAATATATTATACATTCAATATATTATTATATATTATATGATATATATTATATATATTATATATCATATATTATATAATAATATATAATATAAGATATATAATATATATCATATATTATATAAATAATATATAATATTATATATCATGTGTAATATTATATAAATAATATATATAATATAATATATGATATATATTTATATATAATATATATGTCACAGATTTGGGAAATCTGATCTAAATAGAAATAAGATGTCTTAAGTGACTTATGCCAGGTCTTTGCTTACAAAGAATCAAAACCAACTGAATATCACCTTCACTCAATTGCTGACATGCAAAGGACAACATACTCTGATTAAACAGCTCCCAAAATATAATTAATAAATTGAACTAAGTGGTGTAGACAGATGTATTAGACCATTTTGCATTGCTATAAAGGAATACCTGAGACTGGGTAATTTATAGAGAAAAGAGGTTTATTTGGCTCACGGTTCTGCAGGCTGTACAAGCAGGGCACCAACATCTGCTTGTCTTCTGGTGCGGAAGCTTTTACTCAGGGCAGAAGGCAAACGGGAAGCTGGAGTGTCACATGACAAGAAGGCAGCAAGAGAAATGCCAGGCTTTTTAAATAACCAGCTCTTGAATGAATTAAGAGTGAGAACTCATTCATTACTGGGAGGACAGCATCAAGCCATTCATATGAGATCCGTGCCAACAACCCATGATTAACTTTGAGTAAAACTGTCCATGTTATGAAATTATTGGTCAGTACTCCAAAAGGGACTGTACAGTGCTTTGCTGCTAATTCCCTGTCTTCACCCCAACATGAATACAAAAGATAGCATACTGAAGGGACATATCTAGTCTTTGAGTCCTATGTATTGTTCTTCCTCAGTTTATGTGCTAGGAGAATCCTTGAGTTTGGTGGGTCCTTCCAACTTCCTTGTGTCATGCTTGACATTTGGGGTTGACAGCCTGTTTATTTCTGGTGTGGGACAATTTATCCAGATTAGTCCAGGCTAGCATGGCTGTCCTGAGTAACTGCTGTTCTCCTACTGAAAATAAAATGAATTGTGTCAGCATCATGAAACGTGGGCACCAGAAGCACCGACACCCCAGAAGACACAGACAACCCTCGAAGGAGAGGTTAGCACATGATGTTGCAGAAACTCTACTTGCTGAGACATAACCATATCTTTTTCTCAAAATTTCATTTGTGAGTCCTCTAGACATAAATGTCATGGGTTAGCAAATCCTTTCTCTTTTCTTTCATTTTTTTCACATCATTTCATTTCTCTTTTTTTCCAGCACTCTCTCTGCAATATACAATTTAGAAGTCAAGGTGAGAATATAGGGTTCATCTTGTTAAAATCCTCATTTTGAGTCGGGGTGCTGGTGGCCAGAGAGATTGAGAGGCCTCCTTCAAGTGGCAGGAGAGGGTCTGGAGATGCTGTCTTGCCCGTCAAATGAGCTCTCACTCAGTGGGAAAGCCGGAAGAGGGCTGGGAGCGGGAAGGCCAGGAGAGGGCCCCGGTGAGCACTCATTGACATGCATCGTGGAAAGCATGAGGATAGAAGCACTTGTGGTTTGTTATCATGTTTTGCTTTAATAGTTTTATTTTACACGTACAAATGGATGGCCCTGTTACCTGCTTCCCTTGAGACAGAAAGAGGAACATGACAAAATCATCATCCTGGGAACAAATAAAGTGCATCATAAAACTTGCAAGTTATCTAACTTGTCCTTCATGAGCAGGAGTACACACACCTACACTTTCACATTTCACATTTCACTGCTGTTGTCAGAGACAGGACATAATCGATTAGAACAAATTCCTGTTAATACACAATCAGTCTATCCTATGGATTCGTGATGTTCACAATTACGTTAACTTGTACATGTAATGATCTAATTGCCAAAAACTTCTATAGGGCTTACTATGTGCCAGGAATGACCCCAGGCTCCTTACTGACTTAACTTACTCAATCCTGACAACTGCTCTATGAACAGATGCAGTGATCACCCCCCTCTTACAGCTGAGGAAATGGAGGAGCACAAAGGGCCTAAGGAACACACCCAAAGCCACACAGGAGAGAACTGGCAGAGTGACACCCTCATACTGCCGGATGAGTATTACCTGGTCTGACATGGCCTTCAAGTTAGTGACCCAGACAGGAAATCTGAGACAAGGAACTCTAATATCCGCCTGGCCAGTCAGGCTGTAGCTCTGGGGCACACTTTTGCAGCAGGAGATGGAGCTGTTTGAGGCCGGGAGCATGAAGGCTCGGCTTTGGCCACAAGAAGCAGAATAGATTTCTTCGGGCCTCACTCTGCCCATCTGATGTGCTGCTTATTTCCTGTGGCTTGTGGTGGCACATGGTGTCACACAAGCAGACCAGAGCCACCAGCTAGGACTTGCCCAGACTCTCAGCTTTCCATCCAGGTCTGGGGATGGGGGCCACTACCAGAGTCCCCCAGGCTGTCTCTTTGTTTCCTGTCCTCCCTCAGCCAGTGTGAGGCAGTAACGAGCCCTCTTCCTCCCCTGTGAGGTGGCATGGGGTGGGAGGCTCCCTGGCTCTGGGGGACTGGACCAGCACCCTGCATGTCAGAGATGCCTGTCTGAGACACACCCCTCTGCCAGCAGACCCTGGAGCTGTGGCACTGGCCTAGCGTTTGACTCAGGAATGTTTCCTCTTCCAGCTCACAGAGAAACTCTCTGTGGTCCACATTTACCTTAAATATAAGAAAATCAACTTGTCATTTGACTTACAGAAATATGCACATGTTTGAAATGGTTTGAGACACCCCAGGAGGTTTCTAAGGAGGCTTTGGGATCAGTAACCAAGAGTAAGCACTAAAGATGCTGAGTGCAATACCACCACCCCCTGGCTTCGTTTGGCTGGAGTCAGCCTCCTGTCCGGAAGGGCAGGCCCTGTGCCATGCCATCCTAACCACATCCTCACCAGCTGGAGTGTTTCCATTAAAATGAAGTAATTAAAAATAACAGGAAAGCCTTTCTATTTATAGATGATTTCATAGACACTTTTAAAAATACAACCTGAATTTGGCTTCAGTTACTTGGCATTGGTTCTTTTAGGTTCTACGTGGATTTTATTTTTAGTGGTGCAGAATGATTTCTAAAGCATTCAGCTGTAATAACAGAAGAGGGCAACAGATGGTTTTGTGAAACATCAGGCTCCTTATTTTGAAGAGAATGGCTGCACGGAAAAGGAAGGTTCTCTTTAGCTCTGATACTCATTCTCTTAGAGGTAACGTCTGTTCATGAATTTTCTGAATTTAAGGCATTTTCCAGAGATTGAGTGTTTGTCATTGCTCACACTAATCTTTGCAGAAACTTTGAGATAATTTCTGTCTTTTTATGTTTATGTCATAGATAGGAAAACTGAGTCATGGTGAGACAGGCTAGGAATCAAAACTGTGTGGAAGGTTGCAATCAATACCTGTCTGCCATGCTAGGCTAGTGGGTCATTAATGACTCAGGTAAGAAACCCTGCATTTTTTGACAGCATTTGCTTCTGTGTTCATCCTTATAGTCTGGAATTGCCTTAATTTTAGAGGATTCTTGGCTATTTCACTTCCTACATAAGACCAAGTTTAGTTTGGGGTTGATTTTTGTGCCAATCCCTACAATAGAGTGGACCTTTCCTTTCTTAGCGCCGTGCAGGTGCATATACGAAATCAGTAAAAGTCCTCATTTCTATGGGAAGGCAAGTAGAGAAATGTGGTGTGGGGAGAGACCAAAGGGAAAGGAAAGGCATTTTGTATCAAGCCTTTTTCTTCAGCCAAGGGTAAAACAATAGACAATGTTGTTTAGTGTGGAATGTCAAAAACAAACAAACAAAAAAAGATAAAAATGTTACCCAAAGTGTAGACTAGGGTGATACGCTGGATTCACTCCGTGGTCCATGAGTGCATTCAACTTGTGAAGGGGAGACGGCTGTAAGAGAAGAAAAGAAATGTTGTTCATTTTCAGGGTCTTGAATACTAGGAAGGTACTAACGACAGCTTGAGATCTTTGAGTCCACCTGCTCTTACTTCTCCTCTGACAATAAAGGCTATCTTCTTTTTGTCTCTCTTCTTACACACACACACACACTCATATATATATACACACACACATACATATGAGCGCACATATTTATATATAGGGAGAGAGATTATAAGGAATTGGTTGGAGATTTGATGAGTCCAAAATCTGGTAGAGTAGACTGTCAGGCTGGAAGTACTCCGAAAGAGTTGCCGCTGGAGTCCAAAGGCCACCTGCCAGCAAAATTCCTTCGTCCTCCGTCTTTGTCCTACTCCAGCCTTCATCTGGTGGGATAAGGCTCACCGACATTAGGGAGGGAATCTGATTTACTTAGTGTGCACCTGTTTAAATGTTTACCTCATTCAAAAAACACCAAACACAGAAACATCCCAGCCATGTTTGACCAAATATCTGGGCACTGGGATCCAACTAAGCTGACACATGAAATTAACCATCACGTCCTTAGTTAGAAATAAGGGTGATTATGATGGGGAGTTCAGGGTGTGACTGACCTCCAGGAGATCTGAGAGGGCCAGAGACCTTGGCATCCTCCAGGATACCCAGAATGAGCCTGCAACAATACTTAATTGCATTTCAGCTCATTGAAAACTGGCTCAAAGAGAACAAAATTATGGCAAAGGGTGTTTCATCGTCTGAGGTGTGTGCATGTCATTTTACCATTTTGTCATATTATGGGGTTGGGGGGAGGTGTGTAAACCTGCCCTTGCAGGCAAATGGAAGTTCAAGGACAGTGGGCATAATTTTCCTGCCTTAGAGATCAGGGAATTATGTGTTGAGTGTATGGAGTCACAGGATGGAAGCTCCCAAAGTCTTCTGTCTATGCAAGTGAGGAAGTAACTGTGGCTGCATTAAGCTACTGAGATTTCAAGACATAGCCTATTTTGTTGTGACTCAGACACTGCAAGCTGTGTGTACATGAATATGCCTGTGTGTGCATGTGTGTGTGCATGATGCATGCATGTGCATGTGTGAAAGTGTGCCTGTGTGTGCGTGCATGTGTGTGGGCATGGTGCATGCACGTGTGAGAATGTGCCTGTGTGTGCGTGCATGGTGCGTGCATGTGTGAGAGTGTGCCTGTGTGTGCATGCGTTTGTGCATGGTGCGTGCATGTGTGACAGTGTGCATGCACGTGTGCACATGCGAGTGTCTGTGTGTTTATGTATCTGACTATGGAAAGTCTACCTGAAACCTGTGTGCTAGAGCTTAGCCAGAACCACTTCATACAATGATTCTAATGCTAGGGAAACACCCAGTTGCTGTCATTGTGGTTCTCTTTGAGCCAGTCTAATCAGCTGAAATATAATGAAGTTTTGTTATGGGCTTACCTGGGGTCTCCTGGAGGGTGTCAAGGGTCCTTTCTTACTCTGGGCTCCCTGGAATTCAGTCACACCAGCTGAGGAGCCTGTTCTCTCTGACTCTAGTGTGCCTGGGTCTCTTCTTTGGGGAATTCTCTTCCTAATCCATGTGTCCGTGGGACTGGCAGTTACCTCCCTCTCTCCGGATATTGTGTTGAGTTCATAACAGGCTGGGGAAATGGCACCAGAGCACCCATAGCACTCAGTCTCGGAGGGCATTTTACCACCACTGGAAGGTAACTGGAGCAGCTCCCTGGACTTTTCCCTGGAGTTGGATGGGAAGGCGAGCTTACTCTCATGATTTGACCTACCAGCTTCTAGAGTAGGGCTGTCAGAAGCAACTTTTACCAGCTGAACATTGTTTCATTGTAGTGAGGAACAATGAGACTGATCTGAAAAGTGGAATGGAGACGGCAGAGATGTAAGGTGGCAAGGGATGGAGGGGGCATCCTTACGACAGTGCTTTAGTCTCTGGGCTCAGCTCTCAGGACACTCAACCTGGTCGTCCCACTTAGGCGAGCTTCAGTTAGTCAATGTTGGGTTTCTGTCACTTGCCAGGAGCCTTGGCATTTATGGCAGAATTTGTTTACTCTTAGATATTAAGCAGCTCTACAAGTTTCATTTCATTTCATTGCTCATGATTTTCATATCAGTTTTATTTCATTGCTCTCCTCTCTCAGGATGTGTCATTGGCAGGGGAGAACTCTCCTCTCTGTAGTGGAATGGGTCAGGGTGGTTCCTGGATTGGCCCACCCAAGTGTGCGAGTAGATGCTTTTACTTGGACTGTATGTCATCTTGAGTAGGTCAGTCAACCTCCTGTGCCTCTTTCTCTATTTCCACAATGAGAATGTTAGCACCTTTCTCCTAGGTTCATCGTGTTGACTAGCTGGGCTAGTGTTCCAAAGCCCTTCAAACAGTCCCAGACACACAGTCAGTTCTGCTTCATTAGCTGCTGCTATCATTATGGTTCCTACCACAACATGCCATCTGACCCTATTTATGCCATCCTCCCTGGCCTGGGACCCAAGGTCACAGTAGAACACTTGCTGAGTCATGCTTAAGTTCTTGGCATCTTCAACCAAGACAGAGGTCAGTAATCAAAAGTAACAGTATTCAATAAAGCAGATGAATCCACATACCGTTTTCCAGTGTTGAAATGTGTCTATCAGAACAACTTTAAAGGTAAGTCGGGTCGAGAGCATGATTTAGTACAAAAGTCAGCAAACTATGGCTCATGGGTCAAGTCCAGCTGTCACCTGTTTTTATAGAACCCATGAGCTAAGAATCATTCTTACACTGTTAAATGGTTGAAAAAAAATGAAAGGAATATTAATATTTTGTGACAGGTGAAAATTATGTGCACAGCCACACCCTCTGTTTGCATCTTGTCCCTTGCTGCTTTTGTGCTATGATGGCAGAGCTGGGTTGAATTGTGGCCCACAATGCAGAAAATATTTACTTCCTGCCCCTTTTACAGAAATGTTTGTTAACCACAATTTAACTCTTTTTAGCTTAATTCTTAATTTTCCTTTGTCCCTCTAAAATTTCAGACTTTTAGGAATTGAAGGGTAAACTTGAGACACGGGTTTGAAAGTGAGGACACTACATGGCACTGGCTTCAAATAAGACATACAGGCAAACTCATGATCCTCACTTATTTCATTTCAGATGAAAACTGCTTTCCAGTGAAAATCAGAAGGGGAAATGTTGAACTGTATATTTTTCTGAGAAAAATAACATGGAATACAAGGGCCTACATTCTCTTTCCTACATTCTCATCATTCTACAATTATTTGGGGTCTTCGTCTCTCCCACTTGATGTATGCATTCATAAAACCTCAGGAAGAAACATGATCAAAAGTAAAACTGAAAGGAAAAAACATAAAAATGTTCCTTGGTTTTGTTAGGTTTTTGTCAAACTCAGCGTTTAGTGGGCTGTTTTTATTTTCCTTTCCGACTGTATTTATAGGCGTCGCTCTTCTCACTGATTTTTTTGCCTTTTTTCAAAACATTCCCTGGAGGAACAGCATGAATCAAGACAAGCTCTTTATCTTCTGCTGATTTATATAAAAATAGACAGCATGCATGGGCTTTTGCATGCTGTTTCCCATGAAATGCTCTTGTTTTTATCATTGCAAACTTCTGGGGCTCTGAAAAAAATGACAAGAAAATGAGTCCTATCATCACCTCCTGAGAGTCAGCATTCATTTCAGTCTCTCTATGTGATCTGTGGTGCAGAGGTCTGGCTCCCCTGTGGGTGGGGCTTACAGAGGGCCTCTGTGATACACAGGAGTGGAAGGTTACTTAGCAGATCCAGCCTCACGTTTCCGTCTAACACCAGGAGAATCCGATGGAGCATTGACATCAATACTGGGGGGTTTGCCCTTGTAGGGAAGAATCTAAGGTAACACCATGAGGACTCTAATAAATGCAATGGTGTTTAATTATGGTTTAGGGCTCTGACATGATACAGAACCCATTATGGACAAGTCTCTGGCCAAAAGTCCCTGCAAGAGGAATGGATTCTCAGAAAGCAATTCATCATCCTCGTTTTGCCTTTGGAAGTGAAACGCAAGAGCAACTGGGATTCCCACGGTGCTCTCCTGGAGCATCATGGCCCCATTCTGTTCTCTTTCAGCATCTTTCACCTCCCATCTTCCTTCCTTCAGGGGCTCATTTTCAGAATTTTCCATTGAAATCCCTTACATGTTTGTCCCTTGAAGGAGTAACCTTCGTTTATATGTAACATTCAATTAAGTAAACACTCATTGCATAAAAGAGGCTTTACTGTGTGCACAGATTTGATTAGGAGCAATTTATGACTTTGTGTCATTCATATGAATAAGCTAACTTGAGCTGAAATGTTAACAGGAGTGAATGACTTCCCCATCTCCCTCCTCCATAAACATTTCCCATTTAAGGAGGATTCCATCGTCCCAGACAGAAGCAGCCAGACAAAACAGAGGGGACATAACTCCACACTGCGGTCTCAAGGCTGGTAGAGGAGGACAGGAACTGGAGAAAGAAGGCCAAGAGCAGCCGCTGAGCTCAGAGAGAGCCCAACACCTGCAGAGAGATGCCTTTCTGTGGAGAAAAGAGAAAGTCATAACCAAAAATACACTCAGAGAACAATGCTCAATCCTTGGTTTCCAAAGGGCAAGAGCAGCTCAGGCAGGACCCGCAGGCTCCAAAGTTAGGGCTATGCAGGCAGGAGGGTGTGGCCCCAACAGGCAGCCGCACCCCAGTAGGATGGGCATGGTGGGGAGAGCCTGGGGTCAGGAACTGGTTCAGTCTGGGTACGGATATGACCAAGTGGCCAGTGGGAAAAGCTGCTGAAAGCATTCATAGTTGGAACACATGATACTAAGAGCATAGCAATTCCAGGCTCACCGACGAGCAGGCTTGGGGCTGCAGGCCTTCTGCCTGTTCCATTGATTATGTCCAGAGCCTCCAAAGATGGATGCGGGTGCCAGCAGCTCCGAGTTCCATTCTGGGCATCACACTTCAAATGTGGTAAAAACGAATTCACAAGAAAGCCTTGGATCGACAATGCTGACGGATACAAGACACTACTCCTTCGCCTCGCTCTTCCCCAAATTCCTAGAAAAGACAAAGGGAAAACACCTTCAAAATCAGAGCAAATCCATTAGGGGCCTATGACATGAGAAAGAACTTGCTTCAATGATGAGATCTGTGGGTTGTCTGTGACATCAGCCTACGTTAATTACCCTAATAAGAACTTAGTGACTGGAAACAAGGTATTTGATTTTTTAAAAAATAATAAAACCTAAACCACATAGCATTATTCTAGCAGCTGGATGTCAAGAGGTAAGAAAAATGATATTTAAGACTAGAAAATTGGATCAACACTATCTTGCAGCAAAATATTTAGTGAAACTCTTGCCTTTTATTTCTTGGAGCACAGGTCACACGCCAGAGGCTCTTGTCATTCTGGAGAAGAGCAGAGGTTAGTAGCATGCGCTGTGAAAGCTCCACTTGGAAAACCATCACAAGAAAGAGATGCATTCAGAAAGGGAAGGCCAGCATGCAGGCAGCAATCTTAAGGAAGAGAGTCCAGACATTCTCTACTCTGCATGGTTGCCGTGGAAAGAACCGGAGTGCTAAGGCATTACTGAGAGGAAAGTGACCCAGCTTACAGCAACTTGTCCATCAGCAAGAAATAAAATTGCCAGGTGTTAAAGCACTGAAACTTTAAGACTGTTACAGCCACTCACATGAATTACACTGACTCAATTTTCTATATAGGTACTAGTTACAGCAAGTAGAAAGTACAATAGGGGGAAAAAAAGATTCCAGTCACAGTAACGAGAGGAACAGAAAGCCTAGACATGCATCTGACAAGAAATGTGCAAGAACTGTATTCAAATACCTGTGAAGGTTCCCAAGTTTCCCAAACTTGGTCTGCATATTTAATGCAATCCTCATCAAAATTACAACAGTATGTTTTTAGAACCTGACACACTGATTCCCACATTCATCCGGTGGAGTAAATAAATGCAAAAAAACTAATAAAATTCTGATTTAAAACACACAATTAAGGGAAATAGGCCAGACATCAAAACATATTGTCTTGTTATAGAAATTAACATAATGTGTTTATGGAGGAAAGGACAAATCAATCAATAGAACGGAACAGAAAATCTAGACATATCATTAAGGTGGCATTTTTAAATCAGTGTAGAAAAATGATTTCCTCCATGTATTCAATGGTTTTCAAGTAAATGGTCATCCATTAAGGAGAAACAAAATTAGATATACCATGGCCAAAAGTAAATTCCCAATGATTTTGAAAGAATGGAATAAAATATCAAAATAACTTCATAATCTTATGATGGGGAAGGATTCTCCCAGCTAGTCATAAAATTCAGAAGTCGAAGGAAACACTACCTGAACATTTAAAACACGCCTGTGACCAAAGAACACCATAAAAAAGGGGAAATTAGAAAAAATGAGAGGAAATATTTGCAACATATACCGTAGGCTAAAGATTGATATTCAGGGTATGTGTTTAAAAATCGCCAACTACTCAAGAAGATGAAAACAGCCCAAGAGGGAAATGAGTAACATTACGAACCAGTGAAAAAGAACGAATTCTGATAGTAGGTTCTGATATGTTAAGGTTTTGAAGATTGTTACAAAAACCATGAAGGGCTGTGGAACATGTAAAGTAGAATCGCGTTTACATTTGACAGTTGTGTGTGTGAGTATGTATGGATGTGTTCGCGTGTCTGTGTGTGTGACAGCATGCGTGAGTGTGTGTGAGTGTGCGTGTAAGTGCACGTGAAGGCACAGAAAAGGATCTAGAGAGAAACAGGCAGGATTGTTAATAGTGGCTCCTGCTAGGGAGGAAACTGTCAGGGGTCACTTAAAGGAGAAAATGGCATTTATGGTTTATCCTAAAGTCTACACACAAAAAAATATTGTTTTTAATTGCATAGAGAATTGTTGCATGCATATGTACATACTTTTCACAGACTTTATTTTTCAGAGCAGTTCTAGGTTTGCAGCACAATTGGGCAGAAGGTACAGAGAGTTCTCATATACCTGTACCCCGCACCCACCCAGCCTCTCCCAGTATCAGCACCTTGCACCAGATCGGTACAGTCGTGACAGCTGGTGGACCCACAGTGATGCATCCTAATCACCCAGATCCATAGTTTACACCAGGATTCACGATTGGAATTATACATGCTGTCATTTGGACAAGTGCAGAATGACATGGATACACACGATTACAGTATCATACAGTTTCACTGTTCTGAAATTCCTCGGGGCTCTGCCCGTTCATCCCTCCCTCCCCTCAGGTCCTGGCAACCACTGATGTCTTTTTTCCAGCTTCATAGTTTTGCCTTTTCCAGAATGTCATGTAGTTGGAATCATACAGTAGGTGGCATATATGTTTATTTTAAAGTCCTTAAAAACACAGAAATATAGCCGGAATTGTATAGGAGCTCAGGAACATCAACTCGCAGGGCCATTGGAAGCTGTTGAGGCTGGAGACGTTCAGGTGAGCTCCATGAAACAGAAAATCTAAAAGGAGCCGGGGCCAGATGACAGCAAGAAAAAGAGCTTTGTTTATGCCGAGAAGTTGCAGCACAGAGTGATACCACCCAGGATGTAAGCCCACGGTGCACAGAATAAAAGGAGAATCAACACTGGGGAGTTAACAGAATTAGTACTTCCTCAGACAAGCTGCATAAAATCACCCAGAATGCAGGAAACATTTCCTATCAGAGGAAAAAGATTTAGATTTATAAGATAAACAGAAAATAGACATAGGATGTCCAATAAATGGAAACTCTGGAATGCCTGAAAACAAAACCAGAATCAATGCAGCTCAAATGTGCTTAACCAACACTTCTCAAGGTATATAGAGGCTAATACATTAACTTTAATCATAAAACTCATTGCTTTTTTTTTTCATGTACTACAAAGGGAGATTTCTAAACTAATCATATATTACACTGGCGTTAATCTTCAGATTGTAACCCAAAGTGTAAAAATGTATTCATTTTAAAAGAACCTAAGGACTTTTGGAGACACTTTGATTAGGTAAAACAAACTGTTGTCTAATCATCCACAACAAGGTACAGAAACAGTTCTCCACAACTCAGGAAGCCCTGATCCCCTAGGGGATAAGGATGCTGTCAGGACTGCGTTCCTTAGAGGAATGGAAACAGCCACAAGGCTTAGGTGTCAGAATCACCTACTTCTGGAAGATAGAGGAATATTTGTGGACAAAATGGAATAGAAGAAAACGAAAGAGTCAGTGCAGGAAGGAGACAACTGTGTCCTTGAGGATCTGGCCAGGAAAACAGTTGGGCCACTTGAACAACAGAGAGAACTCCATACAGGAGATTGGTCATCCGTGATGGAGGGGGCGGAGCAGCAAACAGGGAGGGTGAGCAACGGCAGAAAGCCACGACAAATGGAAGAGGTGCAGGGGTCAGCCCTGTGGGAGGGGAAGCGGGAACCACAGCAGGTCTCCCCGAGGGACACTTGGGTCACAGTGGTGCTGCCGCCGTGCGGGTGGAAAGCATCGGCTGAGCAGTGTCAAGGGAAAGGTTCCCAGGCCCCCCCACTCTGGATCCCCCAAGGTCTAAGGCACCCGGAGACGGCTGACTGGGAGCCTTGGACTCAGAGCAGCGTGCACAGGGTGAGGGGCCTGCACAGGAGGGGCGGCCGAGCGGTGGAGTGTGTCCTGCCTCGGGTCCTCCCTCACCCAGGCCTCACAGACCCGGGTCAGGGATCCTCACAGAGGTTTGGTTTGGTTTGCTGGGATCTCTAGGGAAAGCAGCCGGGGTTTCATACCAGCCTGTGGGACGGGGAGCTGTGGGGGAAGAAGAAACTGCTTTGCAGACCCACTTTCAGAGTGACTGAGAAAGTCAGAAGCAAGCTGGAGAACCGGCAGAGGTGACAGAAAGGAGCTACCCACGCAGGGAACCGGCTGAGCCAGCCACGCTGACAGAAACCTCCAGGGCAGTGACTCTCTGGCCACGGGACACCTGGGTGACAGATGGAAGCCCCATTAGCTGTGGTCCGAAAAGGGGGTCCTCCAAAAAGCATAATGGAGGCCATTATTGTGCAGTTACGAATGAGAAAGTGGCTGAATTTCCTTCAGTGTGTTGACCTCCTACATGGTAAGCACTGACAGCATAGTATGTCCTCAACACCAGACTAGGGGAATGAGTCCGTCACCAGGGTGCATTGTTCATCTTCGATTAGTTTCCAGCTCTTACAATTCACAGGTCCTTTTAAATATTAGAATGTATTTGGTGCCACAACTGAAAGCATTGAGCTGCATTTGTAATCACCACACTATTCACCTGGTCCTCCCTTGCTCTGCTGCTAGCGAAGGCAAATGTGAGAGGTTAGACTATGCACCTACACGCTGTGAAGTAGCAGCTCTCCTGTTCCAGAAACCACGGGTTCCGTCGCCCAGCTCCTGGCTCTGCTCCCACCTAACAGACAGGGGTGGGAGCATCACTGTGGCCATCGCATTGTCGTGTGCAACAGATAGGATGCACAACTTCCCTCCAGAGCCTGGGTCAGTCCTCTTGCCTGTGGCGCCTTCACACCAAGCAGAGCAGTCTGCATTTTATGTCTTGAAACAAACGCAGCCGTGCTTATAGTGGTCACCATCCCCGTGTTAACGACAGGGTTGCAAGGCAGAAGTGGGGCACAGAGGAAAGTCCTGGCCCATTTTCCATCTCCAAGCCCCTTCCCCTTGATCTTACTGGAATCTTCCCAATGCATTCTACATCATGTTTTCCTCAGGCTGAGTTCTCCCCTGTGCAAGAAACAGTCTGAATCCTAATGAGATGTCTAAAAAGAGGCAAACAAGCAGCTCTAAATAATTATCCTGTGCTTTGAGGGACAAAGTGAATAAATGCTAAAACGTCATCTCTTCAGTTCTCAGGTTCTTAAAAACTTTGTAAAAAGCTGCTATTACCCCAGAAACACACTTTGAATGTTTTCCACTGTTTGGAAAAAGCAAAATACTTTAAAAATAGTGTGTGTATGCATATTCTATTTAACTCCATGATTTTTCAAGGAAATTTTGAAAAACAAAAAATTAATGAGGAGGTACTCAGCACCTACTATGGTTTCATGATGAGCAAGAAAATCGCCCAAAAGACTATTAATAAAATGTGCCTCTGGGAAGTCACCCAAGGAATAGTTCTGGCTATTTTATGGCTGTGTATAGTCTATAGAGTTCAGGAAACTTAATATTGAGTTAAATCAGATTAAACTATGCTAGTACACTTTTCTTTATTAAATCTACTTCTAAAATGTTGCCATAAATAAATTATTCTAAATTGATGAAATGAAGTAGAATGCTTAGCATTTAAAGAAACTCTAATGGGAATTATTTTTTGTATCATACAGTCACCTCCTGATTTGTTTTGTTTAACATGTACTTCTGCAAACATTTGGATTTTATTAAGAAATATCTAACTTTAGGAGAGAATTTTAACTGCATTCTCTAACATTAATTTTTAAAACTGCTACATATGAAAATCATTTCCAGGATGCAAAAACAACTGAAGTTTCTTACGTTCTTTACACTCGAACAGGCGCCCCTACAGTCTTCCTCGCTGATTACGCACCGCTCAACCACCAAGCTGTCGTGGGATGGTGGCGACCTCTAGAGGCCACAGTTAGGAATTGTCTGATTTAAAGTTCAACGTCTCCTGGCTCTTGCAAGAATCAGCAGTAAGAGCTTTTCCTCTAGGCTCTTAGAATCGTGAATACACAGAGCTTTTCCTTTCCCTCATGCATTGCTGCTCACAGCCCAGGTACTTCCACCTAAGGCAATCATTTTCTCACACTTTCATGATAAATGCCTCCCTTTTCCTTTCGGTCATTCTTTCCAAAAAATAGAACTTTTTCTATTTATGAGTGAAAATGTTTAAATGACTCTAGTTATGCTCAGAGCCTGTATGAAGGTAACAGAAAGGAAGACATTTGATGTGAAGTCAAACAATGCCACCAACTGCTAGCTCTTCATTCTCTCAAAAGGCCCCTTCACAGAAACTCCACAAGTTCCATTTCCTAAGCATCACGATTCCAACTTTTTAAGGGCCATTAAATTGTTAATTGCCTCTTTTAGTAATGCATTAGTTTATTTCTTAGTTATTGCAAATGTAGTAGTTTCTAGCATTTAAATATTTTGTGTATCAATCAGAATGTGTTATGCTGTAGTAACAAACCAACCCTGAGATCTCAGTGACTTTGCATAAAGCTCCATTTGACGCCCCCACCCACCCCACCAGTCTTCTGTGGTTTCAGCCACTATCTAAGGACTCTCAGCTTTGAGAAGCGACTTGGAGACCCAGGTGAATTGCTCCTTATGGCTGCACCATTTGGATTGCATGGTTTCCAGGTCACTGCATCAGTGAAGGGAGAACTAAAGGGCCATTCCCCTTTTCTTAAATGCTTTAGAAGTCCAACAGTCATGCTGAGGACCTTGTCCCACTCTCCAGAGCTTGCCACATGGCCCTGCCTCACCCCAAGGCTCTGGGAAATGTGGGTCTCACATGGATTTTCACTGAGCAATAAATGTCTCTGTCACACAGTATATTTGAAAACTGTTTTAAGTTTGACATTCTTAAGAGAGGAATATAGATCTAACCCAAAATTTCAACCTTGCTTATACCACTCTCCATCAGAAAATGCAACCTTTGTCACCTGTAAGCTGTCATAGTACCTGAATAAATGCAAAAAGGAAGGGGAAAAAAGCAGTTTCCTTCCAAATTAAATCATAGAAGAAAAGGGTTAGTCAGGCGCACTTCTGAGAAGAAGACATCAGCTAAGTCATTTGGAGCAAGGTGTGACTGGAAAGAACCCACAGTGATAACCTGCCAGGAAGAGCTGTGACAATTCTCCACAGACTGCAAGCCACGCAGCACACTTAGGACTACAGAGGAGAGAAGTTAAACAAAGCTCACAGCCCACTGCTCAGCCCCATTAGCCTCAGTGGAGAAATAGCACCTCCCAGTGATCCTTCCTCATATCACCTTTTTTCCCCTGTTTTTTTGTTTGTTTTGTCTTTGGGTTTCTTGTTTGTTTGTTTGTTTTGTCTTTGGGTTGTTTTTTTGTTTGCTTGTTTTATTTCTCATATAATCCTGCAGTTCCCACACAGGAAGTTCAGTTCTGGGCTTTATTGCAATGCTTGAGCCCTAATACATTTCTGGGCTTTAAATTGCTTCCAGAAAAAACTGACGAGCCACGCCCTTATAGGACCATCCATCACAGATGATTCTTCAAGTAACTTTGGAACAAATCAGTGACTCTAAATAGAGATGCAGCAAAACAGCAAAGAAAAAAAAAATAGTCCATGCTGTTGAGATTATTCCACAAGGGGGCCGGCAACATCAGGCAGAAGAGGGAGGGAGGTGATGAGCGAATAAAGAAAACAAGATTTGTGAGGATGACTCAGAGGAAAATTGGCTCTGTCCAGAGCCGCCTGCCATTAAACAGTGATCAAATACAAATGGAGTGGGGTGAGATGCAAAGTTTTACCTTCTGGTTGTAAACATGAGGCCTGAAACGAGTTCAACTTTCCTTTCCCCTTTCCGCCTCATAGACACGCATGTATGCACACAATCACACGTGCACACATAGACACATGGCGAGATGCGATCACAGGACCTTCCCTGCTTTCTGACAGCATCCAATCCACAGCAAACACCTGCTGCATTTCACCCTCTCCCAATCACCCAACCAAAGCCCAAATCCTATACCTCCTTCTCCTACTGAGACACCTCGTTGTTCTTCACTGTGTATGTTCTTTCTTGCCAAAATGAGTAATAAACCCAGCTTGTTAACCTTCAGATATCCTCTTGGTGGTCTTCAGCTTGTGTCACTGACCCAGAGTCAAGGACAAACACATGAGAAACCACTGGGTTCAGTAAGGAGGTCGCCAGGTGAGGAAGGAAGAAATTAAAGCAGCTCCTGACACTCACAGGGGGGTCAGGTTATTTTTCTCTTGGGCATAAACATTCTCACAGAACAGTCCCCCCGGCAAGCTTACTCCAATTGCAGGAGTAAGTGAGACAAAGCAAGGCGCTTCGTAATGTTGTCTAAGCACAGACAAAAACAAGGTCGCTGTACCACCCACGGAATACCAAACACCCTCCTGATTACAGTGAGTGACAGCTGCTTCTTACCCCCTGCAGCCTTATCTTCACCGCAGCCTGCCCTCCCTACAGATGAGACTAAGACACATGGGGAGACAGAATTGTAGGATCTTCCCTGCTTTCTGACAGCATCCAATCCACCGCAAACACCTGTTGCCTTACATACTCTCCCAATCACCCAACCGAAGCCCAAATCCTATACCTCCTTCTCCTACTGAGACTCCTCGTTGTTCTTCACCGTGTGTGTTCTTTCTTGCCAAAACGAGTAATAAATCCAGCTTGTTAACCTTTGGATATCCTCTTGGTGGCCTTCAGCTTGTGGCACCGACACAAGCATGAGACCCTCCTAGAGAAAATTGACAAGAATTTGCAATGTGCTTTCCCTCCACACCTCCCAACCCCACTAGAAGATTATACATAAAAACAGAGTGGATGGGGGAAGAAGAGAGTTAGGAGGGAATAAAATGAGCAAGACAGTTTGTTCCTTTTTGCCGTTGCTTCTAAACATCTCATTACTTTGTGTGATGCACAAACACACAAATAATGCACACACAGACACACAAATAGCTCAGGAGGATGGACATGGATTTGGAAATAAAGAACTGATTCTCACCTATGTCTGGAGGTCCCTGAGTGGCAGACTCTACAAACATACCCAGCAATGTCCAGGCGAGCTGAGGACAGCATGGAGGTGAGAAGAGGCGTAACTGGATGGGAGAGCACAGACTCCAATGAAGCCAAATCCGGCAGAGCAAGAAATCTGTCCCAGTGTGTCATCGGAGGGCACCACAGAGAGCTGGAAAACGAGCCAGGATCCCAGCCACCCAGAGGCAGCAAAGCAAGTTGAGATTCCCCATTCTCAGAAGCAGCTTTCAGCTCGAGAAGCTGCTGCATCCACTGGGGTTCATCCATGCAAGGGGGCTGTGAGGAGCCACCTGGACCCCTAAAAAACAGGACTATTCCCTGGTACCGCTGGAGCCAAGAAAGGTGCGAGGTCGTTTAAGACTCTGAAAAAGAGCCCCACAGAGATGACATGTGCTCTGTTACCCCTGGTGCTCAGGCCATCTTGTGAGCTGACAGCCTCTCTCAGCTTGGCCCCGTGGCAACAGACATGGTCAAACTTTGTAGATGTACAAGAGGGAAAAGGCGAGAGAAAATCCTGTAGGAGAGAAAACTTTGAAAAGCATCTCAATTTAACCCAATGGATGCCAGAAGCGGCCAAGTAATGGACTAGACATGGCTGGGATACCTGGAGCTCAATAGCAACAACAATGAAAAATTTAAGAAATTAAAAAGGTTCAGTAAACCTATTTGCTTAACATAAAAGAAGGTAGTAAAGGAGGCTCAGAGGACCCAAAACCAGATGAGACGTACAGAAAAAAACAACAGCAAAATGGTAGACAAAAGTACAACCACATCAATGGGTTAAATGCACCAACTAAAAGACCGAGATTGTCAGAAAGACAAGTAAGACCCAATTCAAATACTGTCTATGAGAGATTCAAGTTACATTTAAAGGTGCAAATAGGTTGAAAGTAAAAGGATTAAAAATTGTATATTGTGAGAACAGTGGCCATAAGACAGCTGGAGATGCTATAGTAATATCAAACAAAATAGATTTTAAGACAAGATAAATTAGTATATTATCCTATAGGCCAAAGAAAAAGAAATTACAGGGGAAACTGGAAATAACTTGAACTAGATGAAAATGAACATAGATGCAAAATTCCTTAACAAAATAGTAAAACCTAATTCAGCAACATATAAAGAGGACTATCCAGTATGACCACTATGACCCGTGAGGTTTATTTCAGGAATACAAGAAGAGTTGAACACCTGAAAATTGATGAATGTAACAAACTATATTAAGAGAATATAAAAAATCACTTGATCATCTCAATAGATGCTGAAAAATTGTTTGACGAACAATGATACAAACTCTCAAAACACTTGGAATATAGGGGAGCCTTATCAATCCAATCAGGGAACCTACCAAGGCTGACAGCTAGCATAATTCTTAATTATAAAGGGTTGAATGCTTTCCCCCCAAGACCAAGAACAAGGCCAGGATGTCGGCTTTCACCGCCTGCATTCAGTATCTTGCTGGAGATTCTGGCCAGTCCAATATGGGGAGAAAAGGAATTACATGCAACCATATTGGAAAGGAAGGAGTAAAATTGTCTTTACACTCAGACAAGATGATCTTTTATGTAGGAAATTCCAAGAAATTTTCAAAAAAAAAAAAAAAAAGCTATTAGAATTAATAAGTGATTTTGGCCGGGTGCGGTGGCTCATGCCTGTAATCCCAGCACTTTGGGAGGCCGAGGCGGGTGGATCACGAGGTCAGGAGATCGAGACCATCCTGGCTAACACGGTGAAACCTTGTCTCTACTAAAAATACAAAAAATTAGCCGGGCGTAGTGGCGGGCACCTGTAGTCCCAGCTACTTGGGAGGCTGAGGCAGGAGAATGGCATGAACCCGGGAGGCGGAGCTTGCAGTGAGCTGAGATCCGGCCACTGCACTCCAGCCTGGGCGACAGAGCGAGACTACATCTCAAAAAAAAAAAAAAAAAAAAAAAGAATAAGTGATTTTAGCAAGATCACAGGACACAAGAGTATATAAAAATCCATCATATTTATATCTGCTAGTCACAACAATCCAAAATGAAATTAAGAAAACAACTCCATTCAAAATAGCATTGAAAATAATAAAATACTTAGGAATAAATTTAACAAAAGAAGTGGAAGACCTGTACATTGAGAACTACAAAACATTGTGGAGGGAAATTAAACATATAAATAGATGAAGAAATAGATCATATTCATGGTTTAGAAGTCTCAATAGTGTTGTTATAGTAATATTCTCCAAAGTGGTTTATAAATGTGAAGCAATCCCTATTAAAATCCCACCAGGATTTTTTGTAGAACTAGAAAAAAAAGAAAATCATGTTGACCTTGAGTTAGGCAGAGTTTTCTCATATGACACCAAAGCATGACCTATAAAAGAAAAAAGTGATAAATTAGATTTTATCAAAATCAAAAGCATTTACTCTTCAAAATATACCAATAAGAAAATAAAAAGACTTTACTGAATTAAAAAATAGGTGTGAACTTGAGTGGATTTTAAAAAAAATTCACAAACTGGAAGAGAGTATTTGTAAATCACCTAATAAAGGACTTTTACCCAGAAGAGATAAAAAAAATTATAACTCAATTTCTTAAAGCAGTATTTATTAAATGGGCAAAAGATTTGAATAAACATTTTGCCAAAGATAATGCATGCCATTAGTCATTAGGGAAATCAAAACCACAATGACCACTACTATATACTATAAAAGAAAAATAAATCTTGGGACCCCAAAAGCACTAAGCCAAAGGGAGAAGTCAAGCTGGGAACTGCTTAGGGCGAACTTACCTCCCACTGTATTCCTAAAAACGATAGCTGCTAAGATAAAAGAAAAAAAAATGACATGCCTCCCTCACAAGGAATTTCCCTGTGGACAAAGGACAGACGGAACTCAAAGTTGTCCCTCTGCTCACTGAGATAAATGAATATCTGCTTGCCTCATTTGGAAAGGCTAATCAGAAACTCAAAAGAATGCAACTGTCTGTCTCTTACCTAACTATGACCTGGAACCACCCCCACCATCCACCATCCCTCACCCTCCTACCCCCGTTTCGAGTTGTCACACTTTTCCAGACAGAACCAATGTACATCTTACACCTATTGATTGATGGCTCATGTCTCCCTAAAACATATAAAACCAAGCTGTGCCCCAATCACCTTGGGCACATGTCATCAGGACCTCCTGAGGCTGTGTCATGGGTGTGTGTCCTTAACTATGGCAAAATAAACTGCCTAAATAGACTGAGACCTGTCTCAGATATTTGGGGTTCACAATACCCACTAGAAAGACTATACTCAAAAAGACTAAAAAGGCTGGGCGCGGTGGCTCACGCCTGTAATCCCAACACTTGGGGAGGCCCAGGTGGGTGGATCACTTGAGGTCAGGAGTTCAAGACCAGCCTGGCCAACATGGTAAAACCCCACCTCTACTAAAAATGCAAAAATCAGTAGTACATGGTGGTGCACGCCTGTAGTCCCAGCTACTCGGGAGGCTGAGGCAGGAGAATCACTTAAACTTGAGAGACGGAGGTTGCTGTGAACCAAGATAGCACCACTGCACTCCAGCCTGGATGACAGAAGGAGACTCCATCTCAAAAGAAAAAAAAAAAAAAAAAAAAGACTAAAAATACCAACTTCAGGATAAGGAGAACTTAGATCCCTTTTTCTCATGCCTGAGGGGATGTAAAATGGGGCAGCCACTTTGAAAAACAATTTGGCAGTTTCTCAAAAGGTTAAACATATACTTACCACATAACCCAGCCATTCCACTCCTAGCTACCCAAGAGAAAGAAAACATATGTCTACAAAAAGAATTTTATAAAAATGTTCATAACAACAACATCCATGACAGCCCCAAACTGGAAAGCATCCAAATCTCTATCGATAGGAAAATTAGCAAAATGTAGTACATTTGTGCCATGGAATACTACTCAGCATAAAAGAGGCAAACTACAAATACAGGCAGCATCACGTATGAGCCTCACGGCATTATGCTAAGTGGCAGAAGCCATCCACCAAACAGTAAAATTGCATGATCCTATTTATATGAAAATTTCTAGAAAAGATTAAAAAATATAGACAGAAAGATGAGGCATTGTCTGTGGCTGTCGTGGCCCGTGGGAACAGGATTGGCTGCAAATGAGTAAGCGGAAGTTTTTGGGGTGATGAAAATGTTCTGAAACTTGACGGTGGTGATAGTTGCACAAGTTTCTATTACTAAATATCATTGTACATTTAAAGTGAATGAATTGTATGGTATGAAAATTATAACTCAATAAAACCATAAAAAAAAGAAGAAGAAGAAATCCTGCAAGCAATGGTAATGTAGTCAATGGGGAATCATAAAAGGTGTTTTAAGCTCATTAGGGGATTCCTTCTTAAACTAATACATTTTACTACTACATTCTGATGTCAAAGAAAGGCAGAAGTGTCTATATCTATGGGTAAATTCACTTCCCACAATGTCCCTGCATCCCAGACAGGCCCCCTTAGAGGAGGCTCCATTCATAGTCTGCTTAGCAGACAGCTTGTATCTACAGCTGCAGCTCCACCACCTAAAGAGATGGGAAGGTGCTTGGGCAGATCCTGTGCCTGACCCTCTATCTAAGGTTATGTCAGCCTTATTTGCAAAACTCTTCTCATTAGGTATGAAAATATGTTTTCTTTGCATTGCCATTTGGACTGAAGAGCAGAGCAGCTGTGAAACACAAGATTAGGCATATGTATGGGTTCCCGGTATTGCCAGGTGGGGCATGCCAGTGCTAGCGCAGGGAACAGAGCAGCCTCCCCTGGCCCTCAGCCAAGGCGCTCAGCCAAGGCACCCAGCCAAGGCGCCCAAGTGCACCTGATGACACTTGCTGATCACAACCACTTTCCTCAAAGAGATTTCAAGGTTTTACACATTAACGTGACAGCCTTCATATGGAAATTGGGCTTTCCAGATACTGGAAGTTAGAAACAGGGGTAGGCAGGTGAGTTTTCACAGTGGACTCCCCTGGGGATGAGGAGGATCTATTTTGCAGCTTTTGCCGATTGCCATGGTGTGAAGACTCTCGCCATGGCCGATTTTAAACGACTGTCTTAATGTTCACGAGTGTGAAGTTAGGAACAGAGGTCACAGCTGGCTCTAGCACCCCTGCACCTGGGGACAGAGGAGGAACAGGAGAACATGAGGCCCATACGTGACAATGACATACATGACATTAGGTACATACAATGTTTAATCAAGACTTAAAATGTCAGAGTAGAACCATGTCACTTTATTACTTGAACAGCTGAAATAAATTTAAAAGCATTTCAAATTTAACAAGCTGTTAATTACTATTCATATTGTTTTTCTCAATTTGGTTGTACCATCGGCAAATTTTCAGAAAGATCGTTTGCATAGATACGTACTATATATACACACATACATATATACACACATAGCATATATATACGCACACACCACCCCACACAATACATATACATATGTTAGAGTCTATCCACACACGTACACACATGCTAGAGTCTATAATCTTCTAGTTAGTTACAAGAAAATGGCTCATCGTGATCCTTAAATAACAGAAAATAGATTCCCCTCCAATAATATGAATCCTCCTATGATTTTCCTGAAATTACTGGAAAATGCTAATTAATCATACCTCGATCTCACAGCTTCGAACCTAATTGACAAATTCACCCAAGAGTCAGAACGGGCTGGAAACTGCAGCATTGTCATCAGTGAAGCTGAACAAGAGACAGAGACTAAGCGTTGAAGCCCAAATAGACCTTTGAGTCCTGCTTCCATCACTGCGTCCACCTGCAGAGCAGCTGGGCAGACACCAGCCACCCAGTTTGCTCAAACATGAAAATCTGATTTTATTTCGTGGCCTAAACCTCAGAAGAAGGTGAAAACCCTCTGATATTGGGATGCCAGTCTAAGGACTAACACAGGCCCCAACCCACCATGATTGCAACAGATCAGGCCAAAGCATAGGTTCCGAGGGCCTGCAGCCAATTTCTGCTCACGTGTGTTTAGCCTACTAGCAGTAGCTCCCAATTGTGAGGCATACACCACACCAGGCTTTTCCAAAGCTTTATTATTAACCTGGACACAACCTGCCGAACATGTGAATTCCATTTTAGAGATATGAGTGTTCAGAGAGGTTAAGTAGCATGCCTGAGGTCTCCCAGTTGCTAACAGGAAAATCGGGATTGTTGCTTGTAACTGTCTCACTCCATGGATAATCTGTGTGCAGGCAAAGTCCTCATGCTTGGCCAGGAGCCAGGCAGGTAGTTGCTGAGATTCCAGGTATATAATCATCAGGCACAAAACCTGGCCAAAAGAGATCAAACAGAAGTCCCCTGGAAATAATCATCATCCGTGGAGCACATTTTCTGTTTGGGGCACATCTCGACGCCTTGCACACCTCATTTCAAGCAGGCCGTCCAATGCCTTATAAAATACTTATCAACTTCACAGCCAAAAACCCCGGGCCTTAACCAAGGACACCAGCCTTATCTGACATTGAGCTATTCTGCTTCCTTGCCTTTTGCAGACTGAACCCTGAAGAGGCTCAACACTGATTGCCAAAGTCTTGTGGCCTAGCCAAAGCTTCTTGCAGTT